GAGGAGCCCGCCGCCCCCGCCGCGGTGGAGACCCCCCTTGAGGGCGCCCCCGAGGCGCTGACCCCCGTGTCCGGCCTGGCGTCGTGCCCCGCGGTCACCGACATGTGCTCCCAGGACGCGACCTCCTCCAGCACGGCCTACTGCCCCGCCCTTGCGCCCTACAAGAAGGCCACCTGCCTGGGCGGCTGCTGCGCGTCCAGCGGCAAGTGCACCAGCAGCAGCTGCGCTATCTCGGGCATCGGCAAGGAGGTGTCCAATACTATCTGCTACGGGCTCAACCCCGCCATCGCCATCGGCGCGAGCCCCAACTGCCGCGGCCTGGCGTGCAAGCTGTCGATCCCCGGCTGCACCAGCGACCTGCTCGGCGGCAGCTGCCTCGGCACCGTCGTGGACCTGTCCGGCGTCGCCGCGAGCTTCAACCCCGCGGGCTCTGCGCTGGTCGGGTACCCCTGCCTGGATGTCACCCCGTCCGACAAGACCCTCACCGCCGACGGCAAGCTCACTCTTTCCGGCGGCTACGTCGCGAAGCTCTGGAGCATCTGCGACTGCCAGGCGCCCGCGACCATCGGGAACACCAACATCCCCGTGCCGCGCCTCGGGAAGCTCAACCTGACCGACATCAAGTCCCTCGTGGACGTGCTCAAGCCCGGGCTGGACGCGTCGCACCCGCTGCAGTCCATCGTCGACGCCGTCAAGTCCAAGATCCCCCCGCTGATCGTGCCCGACGGCGCGAGCCCCGTCAACCTCACCAACGCGCTCGGGTTCCTGGGGTCCCTCGTCAACAAGGGCGCGGCCGTCCTGGAGTCCGGCGCCGTCGGCCCCGACGGCGCCGCCGCCGACCCGTCCAACCCCGTGTCCGCGATCGCTAACCTGCTCAAGGGCGCCTCGGCCGTCGCGGCGGCGTCAAACAGCAGCAACCCGCTGGGCGCCCTGCTTGGCGCGCTGGCGCCCAGCGGGCCCAACGGCGAGAAGAACCCTCTTGCGGGCCTCGGCAGCCTTGTGTCCGCCCTGGCCGGCCATGTGAGCACCTTGCCTGCTGTGGGGAGGCGTATTCAGGGGGGTAAGTGATTCAAAACGCCCTGTCAGCTGCTGATGATGGTGCGAAAAAAAGTTTAGGCCAGGTTCCCACCAGTCGTAGCACTTCAGAACGTTGGCGTTTACCCCCGTCCTAGACCCATGGCTCAACCACTGCAGCATCCTACCTCACACCTTGACCAAACCCACAATTGTACAATCCCCCCTCCAGGGCGCCGACACCACCGAGAAGGCCGACGTGCTAAACGCCGTCCTCGGCGGCCTCTCCGGCTCCACCGCCGCCGCCCCTGGCGCCGACCTCCTCGGCACCGTCTCCAAGCTGCTCTCCGGCGCCGGCGCCGGCACCCCCTCCGCCGACGTGGCCGGCCTGCTGTCCAAGATCCAGAGCAGCGGCCCCGAGATCCTGAAGACCGTCCTCAGCGCAGTGGAGCAGGGCAAGCAGGCGATCGGCGACGGCAAGATCGATCTGCAGGGCCTCCTCTCCAAGGCTCAGCAGTTCGTCGGCCACGACGGCGCCACCGACACCGACGGCAACCCCACCGTGTCTGCCATCCTGAACGGCATCCAGGCGCTGTCGAGCCCCCACGGCACCGACGGCCCCGACGGCGCCGCGGCCAACCCGCTTGGCTTCCTGTCGGGCCTGAAGAACAGCACCGGCGGCCTCAGCCTGCAGTCGCTTGTCGACGCGGCGTCCAAGGCCGGCCCCCTGCTGCAGTCGCTCTCCGGCGCCGACGGCGCCGGCGGCAACCCGCTGGCCGGCGTGCTTAAGGCGTTTGCCGGCGGTGAGGGCGGGCAGGGGCTCGACCTGTCGTCGATCCTGAACTTGGCCGGCAAGGTCGGCCCGCTGCTGCAGGCGCTTGGCGGCGGCGCGGGCGGCGCGCCCGGCGGCGACCCGCTCGCATCGGTGCTCAACGCCGTCGGCCTCGGAGAGGGGGGCGCCTCCGGCTCGGGGCTGAACCTGCAGTCTGTCAAGGGGCTGCTGGAGGCCGCGTCGAAGGCGGGCCCCGTGCTGCAGTCGCTGGCCAAGGCGGCGGGCGCGGACGGCAACAGCCCGCTCGCGGGGCTGCAGGCCTTCCTGGACAAGCTGCCGCACATGGGTGGCGGCGCCGCCCCCGCCGCCGCCCCGGCCTCTTCCTAGGCGCTTCGGATGGACGGCCGCCCTCGGGCCTCCCTTCTGCTGTTTGGGGTGGGCGTTTGTCGATCACTGCAAAACAGGCGGCCGCAGATTGGGTGATGGGCAGTGCCAAAGGGCAGCGCGCACACGCGCGCCCGTCCGCAAGCCCTGGCGTTCAACGGGCATCCCCACGCCCTGCGCAAGCCGCGATTCACGCCCGCAGATCCGCCTGGGCGGGCGCGTGCTGCTCCTGCACTGAAAGGGAGCGCGCCGCACACAGCGCGCGCAGGCCTCGTTGCAGCTCGTCCCTGTGGCCGTGGCAAGGCTGTTAGCGTCGAATCTATGCCATATTTTGTTGCCGCCGCCCTTGAAACTAATCTCTCCACCATCCCTGTGTGCGGGCTGTGCTGACGACCGGGGCCACTGGCCAACCCGAATGGGTTGACACCCAGTGGCCTGCTGGTTGCTCTTCATTTGCATAGCTGCCTGAAGGCCATCCTGCCGAGCCACCATTGCTCGTGGGATCCAGGAAGCCTTGTGCTCTCTTGGCATGCCGCCGGTGAAGTGCGGCGCGGCGGTCACATCATTCTGCGTGCAAAAGCCGGCGTGCAACCATGCGGACATGGGGGATCGCCATGCTTGGCTGATTTTAAGGTGGTTGAAGCTTGTGTAAGTTGGCAATACACTCAGTCTACAAACCACGGGTTGACGGCAGGCATGCATATCGGCCTATCTGAGGGTGCATGACCAGCATGCAGTGGCCGCCAACGCCTGCTGTGCGTGCTGCGCCCTGGCAGGCGTCCAGAAAACGGCGACCCACGCCAGTCGCCATTAATAGCAGCGTGCAATGATGACTTTCACAACGACATCATGCCGCGTATCAAGGCCAACAGGTCCGTCGGGGCGGAGCTTGTCGTGTCGCCCTGGATCAAAAAGAAGGGCGCAAAGCTCGCGCCAGGCGATGAAATTCGATCTGTAGATGGCCAGAGGATGTGGTCAGTAACCCCACAGGACCTGCTGCATCCGCCAGACCCGCCTGCGTCAATGGCCGCAGCGCCGATCTTGGCGCCACCCGGGCTGATCCCGCAGCTGCAGCCCGCGCCTGTCAACCCCGGCGTGTGGCACTCGCGGCGGCGAGCTCAGCACTCAGAGCAGGCCCAAGAGCGGCAGCAGCAGCATCCCAAGTCAGCCACGGCCCAGCTGGGGGCGCCGCACCCAAACGGCCGCGCGCCAGCCACCTCTGGGGGAACCCGTCCCCCTTCGGATGCCACCACCAGCGGCAGCGGCGACGATTGGGACGATATCGAATCCGCTAGTTTGCAAGAAGCCCCGGTGGCGGCGGCGGCGGCAGCGGGGGGCGAGCGGCTTGTGGGCGTCGCGCGGCTGGCGCTGCTGCCAAGCGGCGACCTCTCGGGTCACCTGGTGACACAAGACAGCAGCGGCGACGGGAGTGGGGGCGGTCGCAGCACGTGCTTTGGACTCGTGGGCAGGCAGGTGCTCGCTCAGCACTCTTGTTATCGGGACACGGAGTGGGGGCTGCTGCGGCTCTCCATAATCCGCTTCGCTGACAAGGCCGCCGCCGGCGCCAGGGCCAGCGCCGGCGGCGGCGCGAGCAGCAGCAGCGGCCGCAGCAGCGCCGGCAGCAGCGACGGCGGCGAGGAATCTGAAGAGGAGAATGACCGCAGGGCGAGCCCTGGGGCCGGCGGCGAGGCCAAGGGCGGGGAGTTTGAGGCCGAGGCGGAGGCGGTCGCGTGGGTGCAGCGATCTGGGGGCGATCTCGTGCGCCTCGAGCCCGCCGATTTCGACGACGAAGACACGGCGGCCGTCCTCGCGGCCGACGGCCTCGGCGACGACAGCGACGGGTTCACCGTGAGCTTCCCGGCCGCGAGCTTCTCGGGTGCAACGCTGCTGGCTGACGCGGCCGCGGACGCGGCACTGGCGTCGTTCGCGCCGCGGCTGGTCGGGCGGGGCGCGGTGGTAAACATCGGCCGCATGCGGATCACCGGGCTCCCGCTGGGGTTCTCGCGCGGCGGGGCCGGCACATGCGGTTCGCAGCGGCGGCGGCGGGGGCGGAAGCGGCGGCGGGGGGCCGGCGGCCATGCCGGCGGGGGCACAGCGGGGCCAGAGGAGCCGCTGGGGGTTGTTGCAGGTGACGCTTTAGGTGCGGAGCCGCAGGGAGACGAGCTGTGGTGATTGCGTCGGCGTCGGAGTGAACCCCAGCAGGAGAGCTAATGCGCCGGCCATCGGTTTAACACGGCCTTCTCGGCTGCAGACCCAGCCATGCAGGGAATGGAGGCAGTTCCGCTGACTCGCAGGATGTGCACAGCCTTGACATTGGCATGTTTTGGGAGTGTGTCACGCGTACTTGATCGCCACTGCTGCTGCTAACCACGTCTGTTGTTTAGACGGCTGCAGGCCACCCCTGGCTGCAAGCCACCGTGGTGTGGACCGCCTGACTTCTGCAGGATCGTTTACTCATTGGCCGACGTCCGGTTCAAGTCAAGTAGACCGCCGGGTCATGCAAACGTCGTTTCAGTGCTGGTGCCATGTGATTTATTGGGTGGACTGACAAGACCAGAAAGTCTCAGCACACAGATCAGCAAGGGAAACGCTCGAGGCGGTGTGCGGCCGGCGAGGGCCAGCCGTCGACGGGTCCGAGGTGATGTGCACCCAGGTGGCGCCGGCGGCCGGCCGGCGGCGCGGGCAGCTGCGCATTTGTTTGCAGCGGGTTGCATCGGCCGAGCGCGGGGCGGCACGCAATCGCCGCCCGCCCGCGCTGCAATGGGACGGAGGGGTCGAGTGCCAGGGGTGCGCGCGGCGGCGCTGCTGGGTGTGTGAGTGGTGGTGCTGTATGTCCTCGCAGGGGTCCCTGGGGGAAACCGAACAGGCGCGAGGATCAGGGAGGGTCGTGGCCGACCAGAGCGACCCCCAAGTGACGTCAGCAAAGTGGGGTGGTGACAACAAGCCCTCCTGCTTCGACCAAAAACGCCAGGTGCGGGGGAGAGCGGCGCTGGGCGCAACCGCGGCCCGAAACAAACCCCTCTGGACGGCTAGCGCCCATGCTGCTGTGACGGCGGGGTGCAGGCCAGAGCTGCAGGCCAGAGCAGCAGAAAGGGCGGCGAAAACCACCGCCGCCGCCAGCTGCGGCCGTGCGCAGAGCTGCCGTGCGCAGAGCTGCTGCCGTGCGCTCGCCGGGTGCAATCAGGCAAGTCGGAATCTCTGCTGCGGCGACGCGTTCCCGAAAAATCCGGCGTGAGAGATAGAGTCGGTGAGCGCACGCGCCCGCCCGGTCAGAAGGATGGAAAGCGAGGGGCGACACAGGGGGTGAGCGGCGGGGGCCGCCACTGCTGGGGGCCCTGCTAAAGTACCATTTCCTGCAGCAGTCGTGACACACGCCAGAGGCAGGGGCAAATGAGCACCTGGAAGCAGCCCGCAATTCGGATGCGCACGGGCGACGCAGCTGCGTCCCCCAACGAGGGCTGCCCAGCCCGCCGCCGACAAACGCGGCGGCGGGCAGCCGGGGCCGTGGGTGCTCACATGCGTGCGTCGCGACAACGGGTGACACGGGCGATGGGGCGACCGCGTGGGCTCGCCGTGAACACACTCTGGGTCGGCGGAGCTGGGTGGCCAGTCGATTGCACAAATGGGTAACAGGGCGTTTGAGTCCAAACGACTGCGCCGCAGCACTGCGGGATGCCACGCCGGCGGTGGCGAGCGCGAGGGCAGGCGCAGAATGGGGCAAGCCGCAGGCGTGCACGCCACACAGATTGCAATGTTGCTGGCGCGATGCGACGGGCACCAGTGTGTGATTGAGCCGGCAGTGCGATTGAAAAGCACGTGTCTGCACCCAGCAGGACTTGAAAACAACAGTCCGAAGCTGCATGCCTTTGCCCAAATGCAAGACACGAGATGGTATGACGGGCCGGTTATAACACAACCCCTGCCCTCGCATGTGATGAACACCACCAACGCCACACAGCCATACCAGCGCATACGACACGCATCAACGTGACACGTGCCCACCCTACACATCGGCCAATGCCGGCTGCGCTGCACCCTTGCGGCCGCTCCCAGTAACTCGCCACTAACAGTGTCAGCAGGACGCCAGCCCTTGCCACGCGCCGAGCCCCGAGCACCCCCGCCCCTCGCAAGGCCGCGGTGCAGAGGGGACATGCGCAGGGGCGCAAAGGCAGCCGCCCTCAAGCAGCGAGCCCTTCCTCTGGCCCGCCGCAGCTCATGAGCCCAGTCCTGCTGCTCACGCGCCCTTGGCCTTGGCGCCCACGGCGCCGCAGCCCTCCGCCTCCTCCACAGGCGCGGGGACCGTCGCCGCGTCGCGCAGCGCGGCCCACTCGTCGCGCACGCAGCGCAGCAGCTGCTCGGGGCAGGAGGACTTTGAAACGTAGCAGCTGTTGACTATGGTGACCTGATTTGGGTGTCAAAGCAAATGAACGGTAACAATTTTAAGGAAAAGAGGGGGCGGGCAAGCAGCGTCATGCCCCTGGCACTGGGCCGGCGCTCGGGTGCAGCGCCGCTGCGAGACACGAGCGGGGGGCCGAGGCGCCAGGCGCAGCGGCGGAGGCACCGGGTCAGCCAAGCGTGTGTGTAACAGGTCATGAAGGCCGTGGGCGGCACCCACCTGGTTGTCGTAGCTCATGAGGCTCACGAAGCAGCCAAACGCGTTGGGCTGGACGCCTGCGGGTTTCCAGGCAAGACGCGGGGGCGGCGGAGAGGCGCAGGGTGGGACGGGGCCCAGAGGGGCGCGAGACCGGAGAGGGCGCAGTGCGGGATCAGGCGCGCGGCGTGCAGGTCGCGAGGAACCAAAGCGGCAGGCGGCGGTGAGCCAAAATACTCGGTCCGGCCTTTTCGCCCACGCGCCCCGCGCCGATGTGGACCCTTGCGCCAAGTGGCAGTTGCCTGCTGGCATTCAACCTTTGCCCCACTCACCCAAACACCCACAAAAGCACCCTGGCGCCCCTCACCCGCCCCCATTGACTCTGATTCCCGTGCAGGACCCTCAGGGCTGCCCAACCCCTGAAAATTTCAACCGATTCGCAACAATTCAAAAAATCCAGGGCCCCAGGCCACCCACCGTTGTACATGCGCTCAACCGGGAATCCCCTGAGCGCCACCGGCTTCACGGGGCCCCGCATGTTGCTGAACCCCAGCGTCGCCTTGGCGGGCAGCATCCACATGATCAGCCGCGTGGACAGCGCGATGTCCCGCAGGAAGAACTGCAGCACCGGCGGGATGAGCACGGCGATGAGCACGGCCAGGCTGCCGCGGATCCAGGAGAGCGTCGCCGCGACAGACGCCAGCCGGACGAGGGGCGCCGCGCCGCCGGTGTGGACCGGGACGCCGATGAAGGACAGCGTGTTGCAGCCGCCGCCCACGCCCGCGCCGGCGCCGCCGAGGCCCATGCGCTGCATGGCGCGCGTGTCGACCATCGAGCAGAGCAGCAGGCTGCTCGGGACGCCGCCCCTCGCGGCGTCGGCGGCGGCGCCGCGCCGCCAGGGCCAGGCGCGCGCGCCGCCGCCGCCGGTCTGCAGCAGGTGGCGGCGCAGGCCGCCGGCGATGCAGGAGACGGCGACGGTGTTGATGGTCACGCCCAGCAGCTTGCTGACGTGGCGCATCTCGTCCAGCGGAAGCGTGACGGACGCGAACGCGCGGGGGCCGCCGATCTCGGCGGGCGCGGCTTTGACCGCGTTGACCGGGTCCGGCACGTGGAGGGGCATGGAGAAGACGAACAGCGCGGAAGTGATCCAGCCCCAGAGGCTCAGGAGCAGCCTGTGGCACGTAGTGATGCACAGGGGCGAGATTGCAGGCCAGGAGGTACCAAAAGCAGATCGCGGGCAGCGCAGGACCGGCGCCAGGGTCGCGCAGCAAGGAGTAACTGCAGAGGGCATCCCTTGAGCGGTGCGTGCGGGTATGCTCAAGGTGAGGGGATGTGGCAGGCGCGAGGGCGGCGGTGTGGCCCCATTTTTGAGCGGCGAGCGTGGGCAGGCGGCCCTAAGACTGGCCCCTCTCACCTCTGCAGCCGCCAGAGCAGCGCCACCGCACCGCCCCCCGGCCGCCGCTTCTGACCGTGAAAGGTGCCGCCGCCGCCGCCGCCGCCGGGCCCGTTTTCGCCGCTGCCGGCGCGCCCGCTCCGCCTCGCCTCGCCGTCGCGCTCCGCGCGCTGCATGCTGGGCGGCGGCAGGAACGCAGACTGGTGGCGCACCGCGCGGATCAGGTGCGGGCCGCCGCCCTCCCTGTCCGCGCCCCCGGCGACGCCCAGGCTCGACAGAGAAGAGCAGGACGCCGACGGCGACGCCGCCGCGGCCACCGCAGCGCCGCCCGACGACGACGATGACGCGCCGTCAGATGACACTGCGCCGTCGTCCTCCTCCTCCACGCCGCTCGACGCCGAGCCCGGCCCTGCCGCCTTCATCGCTGCCGTCGCGGCCTCGGCCGGCATGCTGTCGTCCTGCTCTTCCAGCACGTCCTTGAGCAGCTGCATGAACAGCTGCCCATCGCCGATCATGTGGCTGCAGCGCAGCAGCACGTCGGTGTGGTGGGGGTCCGAGGAGTAGCGCACCAGGCTGCAGTCCCAGGGCGGCAGGTGGCCCTCAGACAGCAGCGGCCCCGACATGAGCTGCGGGAGGAGGAGTGTTGGGCGGGTGGGGACGATCGACGGGGTGGAGAAGCTCGAACGCACGCGTCCCACAGCACAAGATGAACGGGCGTGCGAGCGCATGGGCCTCGCGGGCGCTGCGAAAGAGAGCGCAAGAGGCTGCTCGAATCCCCGCATGTCGCTCCTCCGGAGCCTCACGGGCCCGGGCGCGGGCGCGAGCGCGGGCGCGCACCCTTGCCACAAAGCCGTTGAAGGCCGCGTCGATGTCGGGGCCGTCGAGCGTCACGGCGCGCATGCACCACCGCACATCAAAGTCCTCAACAGCCTGGTGGAGTGAGAGCGGGGGGGGCGGGGGCGTGGCGCGTTGAGCCGGTGGGTGGCTCAGAGCCTGCTGCGGCGGGCTCGCGAGGTGGTTGGAGTCTGTTGGGACTCCACTCTCCTGCATTGGGGCACACGCACACAAGAAATATGCAGGGGACGCTGCAATTACACGAATGACAACTTGTGGCCTTGCTGCAACAAGTCGCTGCCGTGCGTGCCTCAATTCGCGGCCCGAGCGTCGGTGGAGTTGATGCGCGAGCGCCGCGCCCTCCGACGATTTTGGGCTCGAGCCTGGCCCAACCCCGCAGCGCGGAGTGCCTTGCCGGGCTGCGCAACCCACCAACCAGCAGCAGAGATCCCCCTCGGCTGCGCACCTCTGTGACCCAGGAGCCGCCGCGCTTGGCTACGCGCAGGCGGAAGCGCTCGTGCGCGTCCGCGAGCTGCTGCATCGCCGGGACGATCTGCTCCAGCGTGGGGCGGCCACGCAGCCTGAGGATGGCGTAGATGTCCGGCGCCTGCTGGCCCATCCCAAGAAACATCTGGGAGACCGGGCTGAGCGGCGGCCGGAGGTTCGCGGCACTGCTGTCCGCTTCGGCTGCGGCTGCCGCGGTCGCCGCAGCGGCGCGGTTGGCGGCGGGGACGGCACAGCAGCCGTCATGGGCGGAGCGCGCCGAGGCCGGGGACTCGCAGGTGTCGGCCACAACCTGTGAAGGCAGGAAAGCAGGTGCCCGAGGTTAGCTGCGCACTGTTGCGCCGGTTTGCTCAGTACGGGTGCCGCGGCCTAGGCCGGGCGCGGGCATGCATAACGCGGCTCCATGCGAGCGGCACGGCGGGTCTCGTTTGCTGATGCATGTATGATTCTTGCGTCTTAACACGTCCCCACACATCATCCAAGGGCGCTGCATGGCTGCGTGCCAACCTGCCCACCTGCGCTCTTAGACGCGGCAAGCCGAGCAGCCCCCGTGTGTTAGAGTCTTCCATAAGAGCAATTACTGGACAAAAAGACCCAAATGTGCTGCTTGTAAGGAGGTTGCCGTGGGCGTTGGTTCCTCTCGTGCGCAGGGGCCCGTGCGGTCTCAAAACTGCGTTTGAGAGTAACAGGAAGTTCCATATACAACAATGAATTGCCGCTAGGTCGTTTGTTCGAGAGCGCGAGCCATCACATGCAAAAATGACACCGAGCTCACTCTCTTCTCAGTAGGTGGAAGCTGACCTTGTTTACGGTACACACGTACGGCTGGATTATCAGTAGCCAATTACGACGCCGTATTCGATAACAAACAGGTGTCCTAGCGACCTGTCACAACTGCGCACTCTGACTCGTTCTCAACGCACCGCGCCGCGGCAACGGTGCTTCCGGTCGACGGCAAAGAAGCAGCATCGGAGCACCAATCGCACTGCGGGTGCCTTTCATCGATTGGCTCAAACGCCACCAGCGGGGCCGCCGGCCGTCGCGGCGCTGCTGCTGTGCAGCTGACGCTCAGTGCTGCACTGGTGGCACCGTGCGGGGTCGTGCGCGGGGGATGAGATAACCACCTGCCGCAATGGTGCGCGCCAGCAAGGACAAGCGCGACGTATTCTACCGCAAGGCTAAGGAGGAGGGCTGGCGAGCGCGCAGCGCGTTCAAATTGATACAGGTCGACGAGGTGTTCGACATCTTTGCAGGTGCATGGAGTGCGGGCTGCTGCGCTGTTTTGTGATGGGTTTGAGCTCTCAGCAGCAATCTTTTTGCGACAGCTGGTCTGCACGCGACCTGCCCAAGGGATGCAAGGAATCGTGCATCGCGGCATCGAGTCGCTGCGGCTTAATCATGTTGCTGTGCAACTCGCGCCCCAGGCGAAACCCGCGCATCGCATCGTGCAGCCCTCCCCGCCGCTCCCTCTTGCCCGCGTCTGATGGTGCGGTGCGGGGGCGTGCCCTCGCTGCTGCTGCGCAGGCGTCCGGAATGCAGTGGACCTGTGCGCGGCGCCGGGCAGCTGGTCGCAGGTCCTCAGCCGGAGGCTGTACTTGCCGGCCCTGAAGCAGCAGCAGCAGCAGCAGCAGCAGCGGGAGGTATCAGCAGGCGAGGTGGTCACGACTGGCGACAGCACGGCCGCCACCCCCACTGATGGCGGCAGGAGCGGCGGCGGCATGCCCGTAATCGTCTCGGTCGACCTGCAGCCGATGGCGCCCATTGAGGGGGTGGTGCAGCTGCAGGGTGATATCACCAGCGAGGCCACGGCAGCACAGGTGGGCGGGGCAGGCCTGGCAGCTGCCGGCGGCCGTGCTCCACGTCGGCCATGTCAGCCCCCCCCCCCCCCCCCGCGGCCAACGCGCCGCAAGCAGTGCGGGCG